GGACAAGGTTTGGGCAGCCATTCGTGGATTTTATTAGTGCTAATTAGCATAGTGAACTTGCTTCGCAGAAATGGAAATAGTATAAAGTGGGGACAAGGAAATATTTTACTAGTATAAGAATCCCCAAAAGGAGATATTTTAACTGCATGTAATGCTGCCTCCACTGGATGCAGGTGGCTCAACAAGCAGTTCTCTTTTCAAGGGGAAGTTTATCAGAAGTTTACCAGAAATTTCAAGGGGAAACATCTGGCGACGAGAGCGAATCGGGTTATAAACAACCTGTTATGGTAGTGATCAAAATAAGGACCAAAGGGATGCAAGACAAGAAGAAGATCAAAGCACTGAAAGCGAAAACGAACCACGGCATCATCATCTATGAAGCCCACACCGTGATGTGCAGGAAGAGGAGCAACTTTGTCAAACTGGCAAGGACAGTTACACAGGGGGAACGGTTTACAACAAATCCTAACATGTACAGAGTCACTGGCATTTCACTTGTGATCCAGAGCAGGAAGCTGCGATGTAGTCCTGAGGAGCGCCGAAGCGACGATGTGCGCTATCCTCAGCTTTATTTGCCCACGACGTGGTGCCGGCCGAATCCCGCTCGGCCTTTCGCCCTTGTAGACTCCGATGAGATCGCCGGCACAGAATTTCTCGCCCATGGTGGTGAAGGAGGTGTCTGTGACTGAACTTTCTTGGTTGTATGCTTGCACTTATGCTTCATGTCTGCTCCCTGCGTGGTTGTCTATTTATAAGCCTTCAGGGTGCTCCATTGATTGACTGTATTCTGAAATATGAATAGTGTTCATTTTCGATGTAACCCTTTAGTGTCTGTCGGTATGAGAAGCTTCTGTTGGTCTGTTTTGTCCCAGGCATGGTTTGGGGCTGTTTGTCTCTCCCTATGTTATCTGCAAATCTTTGATGACACTGTTTGCATCTGTTAAGCCAAATGATTTGCCAATCTTGGACACTTGTGTCGAGCAAAAAATGGTTGCCAACCTGTCATGTCCCAAGATCCAGAGTATTAGTAACCTGTGATGTTCCTCGCAGGACTTTGTTGCTAATCATTTGCACTAATTGTCCTGTCTGATGACACTAGTGGTTGGCCTTGGTGACTGGTATTGGTATGGACACCTTTATGTTAGAAGACATTTTGGTCAACCCTTTTGCTTGTAAATTAATACATGGTTCTCTCTAAATTTTCTAGTGGAGCCTGGCTAGACATACTGGTTAACCTTTTGTTGATAGATTGATACATGCCTGTCTCCTGTGATTGATCAAAACTTCAAAGGACCTCTGCATTTTGCTTCTTGAGATGGCGCCTTTTTTACTAACTATTTGTCAGGCTGGTCATAGTGGGAGTAACATAGGTAGTAACATAGATGCCACATAAGCAAAAATGATGGTGTGGCAAGTATTTAATGAGGAAAGAGGCAAATAGAGTAACATAATATGTTACCATCACATAGCGCTTTCCAATGCATAATGAGTCTACAAAGTAATAAATGAAGGCATCTATGTTACCACACCTATAACACTACCCACTATGAAGGTAGTAACATACACTAGTAACATATGTATGTTACTAGTCTAAGTTACTCTGCACTATGACTAGCCTCATTCCTTGAATGAAGAAAGTATGATGAAACAGGACTATGTTGATGAAGGCAACATCAATTATGATGACAGGTTTCAGGATAGAATAACAATCTGCATTTGAAGTTTGGAGCCAAGGAAGAAGACAAGTGCAGGCCACAGAGAGTATACAACTATACAAGGACGTGCGCGTCGAGGACAAGACAACGGTGGGCACCAAGTTGGCGGCACAGATCAAGATGGCGGTGCCTGTGCTGGTGAACATCAGCTACCAAGAGGTGGTGGACACCGGCGCGTGGAAGGGGGCGGTGAGGATGCAGGGCATCCAGGGCGCGCCGTTCAAGGTGGTCTGCACGGCAAGCGTGTCGTGGAACTGCGCCGACGTCAAGGGCGTGTTGGCCGGCGGCACCATGCGTGCCGCTGCAGGGCACCCACGCCGGCTCCTGCCGGTTCCCAACCGACACGCTCGCTGTCGTCGAGATCACCGTGTAGCAGTGCTCCTACTCACTCGCTGCTCCTGCTTCCCCTGCTTCAGCAACAGCAGGGCGGTTAACTAGCAGCTAGTCTGGCTAATCAAGCTCACTAGCTCACTCAGCTTCTCAATTATGTATTGCTGATGAGACTTTTTTCTGGAAAAGGAGATTAAACCCTCGGCCTCTACATCAATCGATCCATACGGCCATCTTTATTAATTATTTCACGAAGGTCTAACAAAGACATACATCAAGCCACCCGAAGGCACCATTCACACCTACAAACTTGACAATGCGGAGTGCTCTCACTCCTCATATCTATAACCGATGTCGTCGCTCAGCGTGGACGTACCGAGCGGGCTTTTCTGCCCGCTCGGTCTTGGCCCGCTCGATCCTGGCCCGCTACATAAATTGGGCGGTCCGGTCTGCCAAATCAAGCCCGAGAAAATGTCGGTCCGGTCCGGTCTTTAATTGAGCGGACCGACAAACGCAGTCATCGTCGCGGCCACCGGCAGCCCCTGGGTGAACCACTGTGTCCCCGAGCTTGCCCTCTCCTTCCTTGTTCTCCTCTTCGTGCCCCATAGCCTCTTTCCGCCGCTCGCCGTCGATGTGGTGCGTGCACTGCCGCCGTTCGCGAGTTCTCAATCACGGCAACAGTTTCAGCAGAGCACGCACACACGCACTCATGAAACGCTCGGCCGTGATTTTCGCATCGTGGGAGAAACGCTAGGCCGTGATTTTCTCGTTCAACAAATCAGGCAAGTGTTGTTTTGGAAGGTGCTAGATTTTATACCGTAAGCTTCCTATAAGGGCATGTACAATGGTTCTATCTTAAAAGTGCCACATAGGATAAATGATAAGGTGGAGGAGAGAGAAATCATAAAAGAAGGCTTGTCTTATCTTATTTAAGAGAAGACAAGAGATGATCTCTTAGCACAATTTGTCTCACCATATTTGTAGGAACAACTAATTATTGAAGATAAGGCTAAGAGATGACCCATTATAGACATGTTTTTTGTCATCTCTAATTTATATGCAAAACTTAAGATAAAATTATTTTATCAACCATTATACATACCCTAATCACGTCACGCGCGATCCCATGGTGCCGTTTCCTTTTGTTCAGTAAAACAGAAAACTGAAAGTACGAGAGAAATAGGGCTTGACCCAAAAATCATGTTACCGTTTGACGATTAACTCCACGTCCCATTTGATCCGCTAATCACGCAAGGCCCGCACACGAGAAATCATGGGTTCATGCACACGATAGATTACTTGCATGCAACGGAAAAAATGCTAATCAACAAACATGTGCACGTTCATGGCAAAGAACCGCGGCGCCCACGCACTACCCACGGCACGTCGCCCACCTCCACAACGGCGCTGGCGCATGTCACCCACCTTGCCACAGCACATGCGCACGTCGTACACCTCGCCGCTGCACACGTGCAAGTCGCCGCCGGTGGTCGCGTTGGCCGGTCCGCTCGGTCCGGTCCGGGCTTCGTCGTTGCTGGTCCGGTCCCTGAAATCAGGACCGTCATGCTGCTCGGTCCGGTCCGGCCCGGATCGCCGGCGGCCGGTCCAAACATCGGCTCGGACCGTGTCCACCCTGAGTCATCGCTGATCCATCCATATAACGTATCGGAACCAACCGGTGCGGCAGACCTAAAGCGTACACCACATGGGCACGTTTTAGAAGCCGTTATCATCATCGAACCGTTGTCCCATCTTCAGGAGAGAGATCCGCATCATCTTTGCCAGCCCCACCAACCGTCGACGCCACCACGACGCCGGACGATGCCACCGCCCTGCGCTCGTCCATCCCGACGGGGAGACTCTGGAAGATCTGTCGTGCGTAGCACCTGCCCAGTAGGCATGACAAAGCGTAGCACTTGTCAGGCAGGCATGACTTGACATGTCCACCGAAGCTCCGTTCAAGACGAAGTCGCTCCGCCTCCTGCCTCTGCCTTCCAGCGCTACTCCACAAACGATACTCCCAAAAGAGAAACGACACCATAGTGCCGCCATCGTCTGATCCAGAACACCAGAATGGTTTCCCCCAGAGCAGCACGAGTGAGTTGACTGTAGTTACTCGATAATGCCTTCATCAAGGTAATGGCGCGGATGCCATCATCGCCTGCCGTTGGCTCGGTTTTCAACGGCAACCATGTCTCCCCGACTCGCAGATGGGACTAGATGACGGATCTCGAGATCCGATCACCCAGCCTCAGGCCGACCACCTTCGACGGAGGAGATGACCACTATCGCCGGCTGCACCGACTAGAACAGATCTGACCGGAGGTGCTGCCAAGCAGCCCACCAGGCCCTCCACATCGCTGCCGATCTGAAGTCGGATGCCGCGCCACCGCAACAGAAATTGCCGCCGCCCGTGACCGGATTGCCCAACGCGCCGCAGTCGCCGTCGCCCGTGGCAGGGCCAGCCAACGCCGTCGCCGCGGCGGCCATCGCCGCTGCTGCCGAATCTGCTGCTCCTCCACACGCGCACCACCCGTGAGACGCTGGAGAGAGGAGGATCCCCGCCACTGCCGTCGGCCCCCGGACGCATCCCGGCGACGTCCTCCGGCGGCGACGGGGTGAGGGAAGGAGTAGTCGGCCCCGACGGTGGCTAGGGTTGGGGAACCGCCCGAGTCGCCCGAACTGGGGTGACACCGGTGTCAGGTCTCTTTTTTTGCTCCCCGACCAAGTGGTCTAAAAAATTGGGGGAGTACAAACGAAATGAAACAGTATAACAGTACAACAACAATAACAATCTTGGAGTATATATAAATTACATGTCAAGCTTGGTGTTTCTCACACCTGTTTACATCCAAAGCTTACCTCTAGCTGACTAGCTTTACGTTCAGACTTTTGATTCTCCACCTAATTTTGGCCGTTTGCATAGCTTGTATGTTCTGACATTTGAACAGAGTATCAGGAAATTTTCCCAGTAAGCTTGTTTGACGAAAGGTTTAGTTTGTAAAGTGACGTAAGGCTGCCAAGCTGAATAGGTATGTTACCCTCAAGATTGTTCTGGCTAAGGTCTAAATACCAGAGTTGTTGCAAGTTCCCTAAGGTGGGTGGTATAGGGCCTCCAAATTTATTGTTTCCTAGATCGAGGTATGTCAACTGAGTAAGCTGGTCAAGGAGTGGTATAGGGCCTCCAAATTTATTGTTTGCTAGATTGAGGTATGTCAACTGAGTAAGCTGGTCAAGGAGTGGTATAGGGCCTCCAAATTTATTGTTTGCTAGACTGAGCCCTTCCAGCTGAGTAAGCTGGCCAAGGGGTGGTATAGGGCCTTCAAATTTATTGTTTCCTAGAGTGAGATATCGCAACTGAGTAAGCTGGCCAAGGGATGATGGCAATGGCCCAATGAAGCTGTTTGCTTGGAGGTAAAGACGTTGTAACCGTGTTAGCTTCCCAATCCATTCTCCAATCATACCTGTTAAATTATTATTTTTAAATACTAACCATTCTAACCCTGTAGCATTGCCTAGTGAAGCCGGAATTTGACCTTCAAACATGTTGTCATACAAAACAAGCATTTGGAGATTTGGTAGGTCGTCTCCTATGTTAGGAGGCACTTCCTTGCTTAGCATATTCGACCCCAAGCCTAATATTTGAAGAGAATTAGACAGGTTGAAGAGACACCGTGGGAATCCACCTGACAACATATTTTGTCCTAAGGCCAAGTTCCACATATTTGTTAGTTTCCCAAGTTCATCAGGAATACTTCCAGTGATATTGTTGGCTGCAAGGACAAGACTTCGCATGCTAGTGATGTTGCCAAGCATTGGCGGGATGATCCCGATGAGGTTATTCGCGAAAAGATCCAAAACTGAGAGGTTGGAGAGGAGACCTACTTTTGGAGGAATTTCGCCAACTAGGAAGTTCGTAGTGAGGCGTATTTTCCTTAAGCTGGAACAGTTGGTAATTGCATCTGGGATACTATCATGCAACCTGTTCCTGCTCAGGTCAAGGACCTGAATCTTTTGCAGATGGTTCAGTGGAGGTAACCGGCCAGAGAAGCTATTTTTGGACAGGTTCAGGGTTCTGAGGAACGTAAGGTTCCCTATGGAGGAGCTGATTTGGCCAGTTAGGTATAGGCCAAAGAGTTGAAGCGCCACCACGCGCCCTGGATGCTTACGACTGCATCTCACTCCCGGCCACATGCAGTGGTTGGCGCTGGAGTTCCAAGAGCTGAACCATCCGGAGGGATCAGAAGTAATCCCATGCTTGAAAGCTTGCAGCCAGAGCACATCCGTGCTGTTATCAGGGGGCGTTGCGCAATTGATTTTGCTAGCACCCAAAGAGAAGTGCAGCAACGCCAATAGTAGAAGCATGGCGGGGGGTCTGGGTCGATTGGGATGCGCAGAGGCCATTGCTACCTGCAAAATATAAAATATAAGCATCAAAATGGAAGGTTATTGGTAAACTTGTTATGACTTGCTTTAGAGTAAACCTGATCATTCGTCTGACCGGGTCGGGGTTCCGGCCAGGCTTGGCAAAGCCAGAAGCAAAAATCCCAAGCCCGGCCTGGCCCGAAGCACATAAACGGCCTGGCCTGGCCCGTAGCACATAAACTATGGTAGTCCATGCATAGGTTTACTTTAGATTATCTCCAGCTGATTCCCTAAAAAACTATAGAGTAAATTTGAGAGCTAGCCATACCTAGCCGAACTCTTAGACGGTTAGAAGAGTATAAAAATTAAGAGTTGCCCCCAAAAGCAGTCCAAATCTCTTATTTTTACTAATCCAGAGCCACCACAGAAAAAAAAGATCATTCTCCTTTCTCATGAACGATGCCTCTTTTTGCTGCCTCCACCAACGCATGTCACCACCGCCGTCCCGGGAATGAAACCTACACTGCCCACACACCACCGACCGCCCTTCTCCGGTGTTTGAATCTCGCCGGCGGTGAGGAATTTCATGAAATTGGCCGCAAGAGGTGTGAGAAGGCGGCGCCTAGGTGCATCCGTGTGTTCACCGGTATGCCCAGGTGCAGCCGGGTGTGCCCCGAGCGCGCGTGCGTGTGTGTGTGATGTGCGTGTGTGTGTGTGTGTGTGTGTGTGCGCGCCGCTGTGCATGAGTGTGCTTGCATGCAGCCGACAACACAACGTGCAAGCTGCAGCCGTTCCTTGGGTAACAACTGCCGAGGGCGCCGTCAAGCTACTTCGGCTACGTGTGCATGTGTGCGCAGCTGTTTCGTTTGTGTGTGCTGCCTCCCCAATCATCTTTTTTGACCCGCCGTTCTCTCCGTCCTTGCATCGGAAGGAAGAAGAAGGAAAAAGAAGATGAAGAGAGACTTTTATTTGGTGTTACTCATTTGAGAAGTTAAATTTAAGGGTTCTGCTAAATCCAGCCATTGTTTAACTCCTCAAATTATGAGTTAAGTATAAGAAGGCACACAAGAAGTTAACATATAAGGGATCGGCTAGAGATGTTCTTATCTATCAATAAATTGATGTTTACTCGTATCCTTAGTAATGAGTTTTATCTTGTATGGATGATGGTTTTGCTCTTCAAATCAGCCTTCTAGCACCATAGTTATCATGTTTTTTTAGGGAGTGGTTGTTGAAAGACACAAAGATAATGTATTACTCCATGAATAATATTACCTCCATTTTAAAATACAAGACATTTTAGTAGGCTAAAATGACCTACCAAAACATCTTATATTTTTTGTATGGAGGTAGTAGTATGGAGAAGAGAGAAAAGATGAGTACCGTTGCTTTAGGCCGGAGCTCACAATACGACGACAGCCTTCTCTTCTTTTCCCAGTATATGCAAGTGTGAGTGCGCTGGATGATGCTCGGCTTGCTGAGGCCACAGGGGTTTAAAAAGACACTTACAGGAGCCTCAGGTCCACACACCTGCATATCATCTTCACCTCAAAAAATAAATACAAACTTGCAGCGAAGACCTGAAAAGTCCGTCAACCCTTAACTTTCACCTCCCGTCGCCACCATTATTGTTGTCCTTGTTTGAGCTGGACAACAGGGGCGTTGTTGCCGCGTGCACAGCCTCGAAATCTCACACTCGCTTTTCAACCGGCGTTATACTTTCCTACGTTTGTGACTTGGATGATGCTCGGCTTGCTGAGGCCCCGAGGGGTTAAAAAGACACTTACAACAGCCTCACGTCCACACACTTGCATATCATCTTCATCTCAAAAAATAAATACAAACTTGCAGCAAAGACCTGCACTCGGTCCGTCAACCCTTACCTTTCACCTCCAGTCGCCCACCATTACTGTTGTCCTTGTTTGAGCTGGACACAAGAGGGACGCTCTTGCGGCGTGTACAGCCTTCAAATCTCACACTCGTCCGGCCGGCTATACACATATACTTTTCAACCGGCGTTATACTTTTCTGCGTTTTGCTAACGACTGCCGCGACTCGTCTCTATCCTGAGTAGATATTTATGTGTGTTAGTACTTCTTTTAGGGATGTAACAACTCTTTATTCATGTAAGTTCAATTGAATCGTTACAACATCATTTGGCTTAAGAAACCACACATGCCTTCCTACGCCTGATGACAGAGAAAATTTAGCTAGCTATCAGCCTCAAAGTTTCTAGTCATGCTTTCAAACTCTAGTGAGCTAACTCGAATCTCTTTTATAATTGCACCATGCCGCCTGCCACCATGAGCTACAATGTTTCTTACTGCTGATGCACAATCCGGAGACACTAGGGCACAAAGGACATGGATTTGAGCCAAAAGTTGCCCAGCCAAAAAATTGGCGTTGACCACTCCCAGGACACCTGTTTGGATTGGTGCTAATTATTTGGCTCACCCCCGACTGCATGCACTCTCACAGTTCAATTTCACGCCAACTCTTGGCCATTCACGGGCGGGCAAAAGGTTCGCCAATTTTTTGGCTGGCCCACGAATTGGCAAGGTTATCACGGGCAACATCCAAACAGTCCCTAGGACCAAAGCTAAAAGCTTCATGACATGCAAGAGCTTCTAAAGTGGGCACGTCTGTGATGCCCATGAAGGTGATCAACGACGAGCCCAAACTAATTTCCCAGGTGATCCCGGTATACCGCAGCGACTGCACCTCTATCTCCGTAACTTTCCACAACACCATCTACATTGATCTTACTTGTACCATGTGGTGGCCCGATCCAAGACTGACAAGCATGGCTCCGTACTGGATGGGTAGTGACACGCTGGTACTGAGAACTGACATTAATCTCAGAGATAAAATGCTTGATGAAAGAATGTGTCGACAGTGGCGATTGCATCTCTCCCAATCATAACCTGATCGAAAGCATCAAACTTTGGCAAATTAAAAATGAAGAAACAAACAAAACAGGGCTAATGTATCGGTCCAAAGTTCATTAAATTTGCCAGCGAATAGTATAGTTTGATCTAAACATCACCTTAATTCAAAAATGGCATTAAACTTTTACATAAGTATTTTGAGGTATACATCATAGTAACCAGGCGGACTAAAACCCTGGAAGCAAATATACTTTGGGAAACACCATAAGCTCCAGAGGACACCAGAACAAGTCATGTTCAGTAGTAGAGTTAGTAGGACGAGCCCAAAACTACCCCACAAAGCGTATGCCACTACGCAACTAAGCACTGTAGCATTTCAGAAACGCGCCAGCCCACAACTGTATCTACCAAAGCAATCAAAGACGAAGATGCAGGAGCAGAGGAGAACTCGCAGGTTGACAGGTGTTTGCTGAAATGAAGGTGCAGTATGTTACTGCTCAATAACAACCTATGAAGTTTCTTCAAGAAGCCATCAAATAAGCTCGACCCCATACGACTTGGCAAAAGCATCAGAAACCCAATTTGGTCTGGATGAGGGGCGACATGTATGCAAATCTGATACTATTTGTATTCCAGAGAACCTTACAAATGAATGAATAAAGCCGATGGCTACACCCAAAATGAAAAGAGGAAAAAGGCTAGCACGTACAATTGTTCCTTTGCAAGGAAGCAACACGAGCAGGAAGCAACACGAGCCAGGAACAGATCCAGCCATCCGTGAGTGGAAATTTACACTTCAGCACACATCATACGCTAGCCTGCAAGTCGCCAGCCATTATGCATCTATATCGATTTACAGAAGAAGAAAAAGAAATCATGCTTAGCAGGTGATGGCCAAAAGTTGGGTGCACAAGCGGCACAAGTAGCTGAATGGATAGAATCCCCAAACTTGGCATCACTGAACGCTCTGTTTTCAGACGGATGGAGTAACATTGCAACAGTAACTCATATAAATCAAAATAAAGAAAGCAGCACTGGTGATTTTACCTTTGCATATCGAGATGTGTATCCGTAAGACACATCAACATGGCAATCAAATGTTCAAATAACTGTCACATCAAATCCATTCTTGCACATTAACAACACATTGCAACACTTGCAGACTTTTATTCGACAAAAGAACACCAACACTATAGAAGCACACACATAATCAACACATCACAATAAGCAATCAAGACAAATATTCCACCTGATGTCAAATAAGCAATGAGTATGATTGAAAATCTGAGAATGGTTCCTGTCAGATAGCAGCAGCAGGAGCAGCAGAGTAGTTGTTGTTCTTTCAGGGAAAAAAAGGTTTTAGTTGTTGTTGATACTTTTTCCTACTATAAATATACTCTTTGCGTTGCAGCCACAATATGTCCTGTAGATCTTTTTTTAAAGATGATGTTGATCTTAATCTTGTTGAGCCATGACATCCATCATTTACCACTGAATTCAACGTGGGACAACCGACAGTGCTACACACGTCCTCATTATTACTATAGTGCATTAAGCTCTGAGCAAAAAGAGCAGCTTTAGATCAAGAAACGAAGGAATCGAACTGCACATCAGCAAAACAGACATAGACTGATAGACAGGGTTATTTCTATGTACAAGTTTCTCAGATGATTCAGCTGGTACATTTCTTGGGGCCGAGAGATAGATGCACCCGCAGCAGCTTCATCGTATGAAATCTCCAGTGTATGAAGCCTGTTGTCGGCCAAGCTCTTCCATCCCATTCCATCTATCTGATATTCACATGGTTAACCTTGGCATCATCGAACACTCTGTATACTGAGTCGAGTAACACTGCAGCAGAAATCGTATAAATTAAAGAAGAAACAACATCACTTGTTTTGGGCAGTAATCGACGGGACAATCATCGACATTAGCAAGGAAAACAGCACTACAATTCTGGTATTTGGGTTGCAGTGATACATTACATTAACAGGCTAATCAAGCATTCAAATGACTGTCACGATCCCAGTCTTACAAACACGGTGGCAGACTGGTAGCCACCGTAATAAGAAACATACAGGCTTAGAATAGCTTTTATTTAACTGAAGAACAACAATGGTAGAGAAGCACGCCGATAAACAACACATCAAGATACACAAACAATACAAAGTCCTGTATGGATAAGCAAATAAGCGACAACTAAGGTTGAGAGCACGGGAGAAATGGTCTTCATAAGCACCAACGGTCAAACCATGTCCTCCACAGTGGAGGTGCTGATCTGGGAAGACGGCGGAGTGGCGCCGGTGTTTCTTCCTCCACTAGAAAGGTCCCTCCTCTGTACCCTTTCCGGCAGGGTCTCCATCCCCATGTGCGACAGCAGGAGCCAGATATGTGTGAGCAGCTCCCCGCCGGTACCCTCGGCACCTACTGGCCGAGAAGCAGAGTATCTCCACCCACACACCTTCGATCACCTCCCACATCTTCTCATCACCTAAACACAACAACATTTCAGAAATCTTCCAGGCATCATGGATAAAACGTTCCTGTGCAGCTGGATATTTCTTTGCATCAGGCAAAAAGTATATGTGAAGCATTGACTTAAAAAGCTGCCAGGTCTTGTGAATGGAACCTTCCCGAGCAGTCGGATGCCTCTCTCAATCCGGTGGCGGTTCCGTGCATCCTAGATCCTCTCTGCATTCTGTGCGCCGCAACTTGACGATTATTTTGTCCACAAGTCTTCTTTCAGCCTCCTCAGGTGATGGCCCTTTTCCCTTGAGGAACTTGAGGAGTGGCTTATTTCCCTTGAGAATCGCCATTAGCGATGGCTTGTCGTCCTTGAGGATTTTCTCCAGTTCAGCATTGGCATTCTTGAACAGATTCCGTCTCGTGCCAGGCAATAGCATCTCAGGCTTGACGAACAGTATGTATATCATGTAGTTGGAAATTTCTCTGCATCCCGTGGCCTTTACATGACAAGCTGATGTGTCGGCCTTTTGGTAGAAGCACAAGTCCGTTGCAATGTGCCAGAGAAGGACACTCTCATCAAACGACCTGTTTAGCCCCCATTCCTGATCTTGGTCGCATCCTTTATGCTGAATAGTCCATTGACCCCTCTGATCACTGAACCTCCTGTAACTGGCAACATCTACTATGTGTTCCTCCCAACAACATTTTACATATCCAAGAACCAACTCTGTAATTCTTAAAGATGAGGAGCATGACTTCATGCACCAACGATGGTCAAGAAAGTCCTTGCAGTTGAAGGAACTAAGGACGCACATCTTCTTGTTGTGCCTTTTGTTGCGGACAAAGAAATTTACTAGGCTATACTGGGAAACCATGCCAAGCGATATCAGGATATCACTCAGACACATTACACTCATGTGAAAGATCCCGGAAAGGAACTCCAGCACAACGGTACCACAGAACAAGGTGTTGGTATTGATCTAGAGGCCCAATGGGCCAAAACGAAAATAAAAGACCAGAAATAAAGTTACGTTAAAGAGAGAAACAGGGAGGCCACGAACCAACGTTCGTACCCCTCGATCTCAACTTACGCGCCCTGATCGGGGGCACCCTAACCAACTATGGTTTTGGTCCCCTGTCGCCAGCGCACATAAAAAGATGGGGGAGCAGCCAGCACCTACGCTAGACCAGTTCTCGTACGGTTTACTCCTGCTCCCCACATCCCTAAACCCTAACCGATCTGGGGGAGCGCTGCACGACGGGAAGATCATC